CGGTTGAGTAGTGAAGTAAGTAATTTGTTAGCTACAGAATGTGAAATATCTTCCGTTATCTATCTGACAGCAACTGGAATCAGTGCCAGACTCCCAACGGCATGTGAATTAAATGAAAAGCTCTAAAAAAAGTCAAGATTTTAACCGCTTCATTAGCAGATCGACTTTCAAAGGCGACTTTTAATCACTTGTCTTTCTTCTTTGGGAATTTCCTTCACGATAACAACCCATTAAAGGACGGACTACTGTGCATTGTCTGCAGATTGCACCTTGCTTTTAATTTGCCACAATGACAACTGTTTGCTGCCTTGTTTGGATTCACAGGGACACGTTTTCAAAGCTCTTTTTTTGCCACTTTTCCTCGCTGTGCTTCTTGTTAAATGGGACTCGAACCTCAAAGCCTGCGTGATCAAATCCGATCGCAACCCTGAGCCAAGGGAACAATCAACCCCTTACGAACACAATTCAAAGTGTACTAAAAGGAGTCCACCTGCCCACCAAGCAGTTGGTCTCTACATCTAAAAAACTCTTAAATTCTGACGCTCGCTCACTTAAATTTCCTTATTAACTTTTAAGTATTCTTAATATTTCTGTGGTGTTCCATATTCTTTGTTAATCATGAACCACAGATTGTTGAATTCCACAGACCAGTTTATTGAATAATGGAGTAGTGGTTGCAGCTTGAACTCACAAACCAGACTAATTATTTTGTTGCATAAATCAAAATGCAAATGTCTGTCCATGTTTCCTACTGATTAATACTATAATTAATACTGCATTAAGCATTTTCACCTCTTGTTCTCGGTTCCAATTTCACGGTTTCATTTTGCAATGTAATTAGAAATGTATTCAATTTACTTATAAAGGCCAGTAAATGGTGTTAAATAACAAGCTAAACAATATCATAGATTATAATTGCATTGCAGGATGAAATGTTCTGTCACATAGTAAAAAGAAATGGAAGTTGATGGAGATACTCGATTTAAATAACAACTATTATGAATAACTTTATCCTTCTAAGTGACATTGGTTTGTTATACTGCCAATGATGTGAAGATACATCCTCTTCACTGTCCATCTTTATAATGAGATGAGATTACCTTAATACATCTCATATTATTCACCAGAAACTCTTCACGTGATTGTTTATTTCTCTGCAAAAATAAACTGCAGGAATAGAAAACCTTAAGCGTTGAGCTTCATTTGCAGAAATGCAATCTTTAGATCAAATTCTTGTATTCGTTCTATGTTCTGTGGTATTTTGGCAATTAAATCTGAGGCAGAAGAAAAAAGACAAAAGGCCAGAGGTTCTGCAAGATGGAAAGTTCAGGGAAATCCACATAATATCTCAAATATAAAAAAGCATGTAGAGGTTGTAATGATTTATTCATTAGTGGCTGATGAATTCTCCGTATTCCACCCACACGCGGCCTTGCGTTTGTCCTAAAGTTGTGCTGGCAGGTGAAGCACGAGATCAACCTGCTGCACATCTCACTCCCCGCAGATGTTACTCATGCACTCAGCCTCACATCGGTTGGGTTTCATTCTATTTCTCCCATTGACAGATATTCTCTGAAGCCTTTTTGGGGAGTTTTATCCCTACTCCTTATAGAAATCCCCCCCACCTCCTCATTCCATTCTATATCACCTGTATTCACATTGAAATGACAGCTCAACCGTCCCCCGCTCGGCACCTGCCGCGTGATGAATCTGCATTGTGGTGTGTTTTTGTTACACCTCGGTATTCTACACCCGATGGAGCCCCCCGCTTCTTCATTGTCAGCGGCCCCGTTGTACTTGTCACATGACGGGTCACTTTGCGGCACGCTTTGTATTCCCTCGCGTTGCATTTGGTGTGTTCTCTGGGGATTTGTGTGTATTCTGGTGGTGTTTGCTGTGCGTGTGTGAATCTAAGGTTTGTGTGTGTCTTTTCTGAAGGGCGAGCGTCTGAGGATCCCTGCCAACAAGTGCTGTCCGGAGTGCGTCTCCTCGTCCGAGGGCTCCTGCCAGTACGAAGGAGTTGTTTATGGAGTAAGTCAAGTTGACTTCGTATGTTTCTATGATCATCCATTCTACAAAACCCAAATATGCAGCTTGTATTGATCGATTTGGTTCCAATCAGGTGGCAACCGTAAAGCTGCATTCTCTCTAATGAACACCAGGGGGCGAGTCTATGAACAAATTAATCTACTCTTGATTTTACCCTCACTAAACATTGTAAACATGAGTTTATGGTCTCAAAGTCAAAGAGACCATAGAGCAGGGGATGGTGATGGACAGGTCTGATGGACAGGTATCTACCACAACGTTGTCCAAAGATGAGGGTGAGGGCCAAATTGCTGAACTAGAGATTTCAAATCCATAGTCAACAAACCAATCAATGACATCATTGTGACCACGCCCACTTCCTATTCATGGTTCAAATGCAGGGGAATGAAGCAGTTTGTGTTTAATGACCCCAAGCTCAAAAGCCACATCGATAAAGAAATTGGTGTCCTTGTTCGGTGAGGAAGAACTTCACTGGTGTGTAGTGAGTCCTGACCCCAGGCAGACCAGTCAAGTCCTTTAGGAGCCTGATCCCCAAACATGGGTGAGTGACATCACATGTCTGAGGCGGGATGAAATCCCTTCTGTCAGAGTACACAACTGAAACCAAAAGAGAAGATTGGTACCTCAATACCTCTGCTTTCTGAATGATACTTTTAATTATCAAACATTACATTACGGGTCATTTAGCAGACGCTTTTATCCAAAGCGACTTACATTACACTTTAAACCCATGGCTTTTTTCACAATTTGCTTGCGGAGCATTTGGGGTTAGGGTCTCTTGTCAAGGCACATTTCAAACTGCGGCAGCCGGCGACTGGAACCACAAACCTTGTGCTTCCCAGCACACCTTCTCTAACCCCTGCGCCACAACAACCCCTACCATGTGCACCAAACATGTACATGGTGACACCATAAACCTTTATGTCGCATGTCAGAGAGTAACGGTCTCCCCCCCCCCTCCACCCCCGCAGCACGACAGCCAATGGAGTCCGTCTCCCTGCTCGCGGTGCGTCTGCTCCAGGGGGGCCGTCTCCTGCGGCGCTCGGCCCTGCCCCCCCCTCAGCTGTCCCGGGGACCAGAGCCCCTTTGTCCCGGCTGGAGAGTGCTGCCCCAAGTGTGTCCGCAAGGGAGGTATGTGCCCCCCCTTACTCCTCCCCCCACTGTATGCACGCTCACTTTCTCAGGGACTTTTAAAGCAGCCACAAGATGCTCAGATGCATCTTTTAACTCTTCAGAGCTGCATTTCTCCCTCAGCAGCATCTGCTTTATGCTCATTACAGCATCACGTCGCTCCGTCTTACTTTGAAAGGATTTAACGGCACAGCGGCAGGAGGTCGTTCATCTCAGTGAACCGACTCCACCGTATGGGTGCGAAGGGGTGACGGGGGGGGAGCCAGCGTTAATTGGCATGTAGAAAATGTGCTGTTTTTGGATGGAAACCAAAAGTGTATGATTGCTTTGTGCCGATCGGAGCCGCTGGAGGTAGAAATGAGTAAACTACAGAGCAAAAAAAAAAAGAAAGAGTCCCTGATTAAAGTGAGAAATGAGCGTGAAAACAAATCCGAAATTCTCTGAGATTAAAGCCACAGACTCATTGTCACATCATCAAGAAACATTTTATTCAATTCAGTCCTGTCTTCGTTTTTCCTGCTTCCTGAGGTGTGATGATGTCATCGCGCAGTGTGCATTGAACCTAAAGTAGAATGCCGGACTTAAACTATCTGTTCACTCATTGTGTGTGTGTGTGTGTCAGCGTCCTGCCCCTGGCAGGGGGCGGAGTACAGAGACGGCGAGGAATGGGCGCCGACCCTCTGCTCCAGGTGTGCGTGTGGCGGCGGGGAGGTCCGGTGCTCCGTGGCCGAGTGCCGGCCGGTGGCCTGCAAACCGGTGAGCTGACGTCCAATTGTACATCTAAAAAGACCTCGCGGTTTTATTGATGATGACTGTTTTCTTCTCCTTGTCCTCCAGCATGAGAACTTGGTGATCCAGCCGGGCCGCTGCTGTCCGCAGTGTGTGTCCAACCCGTGTCTGTCTGCTGGTACACAGCACCAGGTAGGTTGCCTCACCTGTAGCTGTGTGTGTGTGTTTGGTATCGAGATGGACGCTGTCCAAGCCTTTTCCCTCCTCTCGTCTCATCGTGTCTCCTTCGTCCTTCCTCATGACGTCAGGAGACATCTCATCTCGATTCATTTTTAACTGTATTTCAGAGGACGAATCCTGTCGCCGTCTTTCTGGTCACGCCCACACAGACGACTCTAAAGTACACACAAAGTACACACGAAGTACACGCAGAGTACACTCCCCGTCCTGCGTGACCACGACTCCTGAGACGGAATACAAAAGAACACAATCAGGGTCGAGGAGTTAAAAAAGTACCGAGGCGAGGAACTTAAGGAGCAACTTCACGGGGGGGGGCGGAGCTACCGAGACACAAGGGGACATAATGGAGGGGGGGGGTCACACAGAGAGGACATGAGGACACAACGTGAAGACTCCTGAAACAAGAGGGAGACATTTACTCTGTAAAAGGAAAATGAATCATAGTAAAGTACTTAGTTGACTTGAGGGTTTTGTGTGTAGTCGGGTTTGTGTGTTTGTCAGAGCGTGAAATCACCTGTTATGACTGTTATGAATGTGATATCAGGAAAAAAACATCCTCTTTTTTGTGACATAATGGATTCTAATGTGTCCTCAGCGCTTCGGTCAATATTTAATGGACCCGAGGAGGAAGGATTTAATGTGACAGCTGCAGGAAGTTGACCCCAAATTGAAACAGCTTAAATATTAAGGCCCTGATGTCAGAGACAGACTGAGTTTAAGTTACAGTGTCACCAGCCGTCTCTCCACCATCTGCAGATCAGAGGAATGTCAGACATCGAGGTTACATTAAAGAACGACTACGTTCATTATTCATCTCAGCAGCGCTTCAGATGCTTTATTCAAACGTATAGTTTACAACTGTTCGTGTGGCAATAAAGTTGTTTAGATGCTGCTTCTCTAAAAAAAAACCTTTTTGTCACCAAAATATCAAAGACTGGTAATTATACAATAAACAAAATCAACAGTCTGTGAGAGCGATAAATGAAGACATCTCTTCTTTTCCCTCCACTTCCTCTTCTAACCCGTCGGCACAATGTCGGCGGGTTGTGTGTCGTACGTGGTCACAGGGATGCAGGTGAGAATTAGGTCGGCATGTGATGGCTGCCATTGGCTCCTGACAGCAAAGTGTGTATGTGTGTGTGTGTGTGTGTTTAGAGCCGCCTAAGTGTGTGTGTCTGTGTGTATCTTTGCAGCATGGCGAGCAGTGGCAGAAGAACGCCTGCACCACCTGTGTGTGTGACAGGGGTCAGTCCAAATGCCACACACACACCTGTCAGCCCGTCACCTGCGACGAGGTGGGTAGCATCATGCACACGCACACGCACACACACACACACACACACACACACCGATCTGAGGGCCCAACAGAGTTTATTTTCTTTAACTATATGAAATGTATTTCAGTACATCAACTCACTGACTCGCAGCATGCAGCCGCCGCTCTAAAATCATCCGATACTCAGAAATAAAAGCTGAGCTCATTATTACCCCCCCCCCCCTTCTCCCCCCGCAGGGTCAGACCAAAGTGAGACGGGCTGGTCAGTGCTGCGACGGATGCGCCGCCGTTGAGGGGAGCTGCCCGTACGAGGGCGTGGTGCGTTACCACGGAGACATGTGGAACGCCACGGGCTGCGAGTTCGTGCGCCTGCGTCCGAGGTCAGGTGGTCTGCCAGACGGCCGAGTGCGGGCGCGTGGAATGTCCACAGGTAGAAAATAACTTTTTATCAACTAAACTCTTATCAACTAAAGAGCAAATCTGCCCTTTTACTGCATGTAGCATAAAAATACCTGGTAAAATACCTTTATAAACACACATTTACCTGGTAAAATACCTGCATAAACACATTTACCTGGTAAAATACCTTTATAAACACATATACCTGGTAAAATACTTTTGTAAACACATACCTGGTAAAATACCTTTATAAACACATTTACCTGGTAAAATACCTTTATAAACACATTTACCTGGTAAAATACCTTTTATTAGCACATATATCTGGTAAAATACCTTTATAAACACACATACCTGGTAAAATACCTTTGTAAACACATTTACCTGGTAAAATACCTTTGTCAACACATACCTGGTAAAATACCTTTATAAACACATTTACCTGGTAAAATACCTTTGTCAACACATACCTGGTAAAATACCTTTTATTAGCACATATATCTGGTAAAATACCTTTATAAACACATTTACCTGGTAAAATACCCTTTATTAGCACATATATCTGGTAAAATACCTTTATAAACACACATACCTGGTAAAATACCCTTTATTAGCACATATATCTGGTAAAATACCTTTATAAACACATTTACCTGGTAAAATACCCTTTATTAGCACATATAACTGGTAAAATACCTTTATAAACACATTTACCTGGTAAAATACCTTTTATTAGCACATATATCTGGTAAAATACCTTTATAAACACACATACCTGGTAAAATACCCTTTATTAGCACATATATCTGGTAAAATACCCTTTATAAACACATATACCTGGTAAAATATCTTTATAAACACATTTACCTGGTAAAACACCTTTATAAACACATAAACCTGGTAAGATTCATAATCTCAGGGTAAATGTGTGTAAGCTACCAGAGGTCATTGTTGTACTGTTGAGAGTTGATCTGGAGCGTCACATCGATGGACCTGGGGGTCTTTCCTTGCAGCCCCCGCCTGCTCTGCCTGCTCTAACAAGTTCTCCGGCCCCCAAAATGCAACATGTCAGCGCCCAGAAATCCCATTTCCTTCCCTTCAAAGAGCCACTGAAACGGCAACGGAAGACGTCACAGTCACTTTGCTCCCCGTTTTCCCACAGTCACTTTAATTTGCTGCAGTGAAATGCATCAGTTCACAAGCGATCTTCATTGGTATCGAGGAGATGGTGTTTGAAAAGTAATCGCTTGAGGTTACAGGGTCATTACAGGTCATTCAGTCCACTTAAAGTGACGTAAATTGAAAGACAAATTGAGCTGGTGATGATCTTAGTGGAAGCTGATGGGCACTGCAGCAAAAAGTACGAGCGGCAAAGTCAACCTGAATCTGTCTGCAGACACAAGAACCGTGAAGAACCCTTGGAGGGGCGGGGCTACTGTTGCGCCTGCCGTTGCCAAGCAACCACAACTCCCTCAATGTTCCTCCACTGAGAAGGCTTCCTGTTGCCAACGACATTAGAAACGCCGCGGATAAAATGTGTGGTCTTCCTTTAGACTTGAGTCTGAACAGAAGACGTAGCATAGCACTTCTTAAGGCCACTAGCCTTCGTTCCCATGGTTACCTTTGTCCCCTAAAATGACCCTCTTTGTTCGGCGCCACTTCAAAAACGATTAAACTGCGTTAATGAGCCCCTCCCTCGTTAATCCCGCCGTACACTGGTGATTACAGCAGGAGTGTTCTGAGCTGTAGGCGGAGTCACTCTGGTTCGAGTCATGTCACGTTGCCATGGTAATGTGCAGAGCTGATAACTTAGAGCAGGTCGACCGCCAAGGGAAGTACACGTTGATCGCGTGCCATGACGTCACGCATGCGCGGTCTACCGCGGAAGGTGACCAAACTAATGCTAATGCTAATGCTAATTAGCGATCCGTGCTTACTAACGGACGGCTGACAGATGAGAGGCTTGTTGGTTTCTACTTACTGGCCGGTACCCCCCTCCCCTCGTCAGCTGATCATAGTGATCAGTAATAATCAATCAGTTCAACACACCTCATCAAAGCTCTGAACTCCATTTCATGGCTTCATATTGAACCTCGGGGGATCTTTATTTCCTCTTCTTTATTTCTTTGAAAAGGGAAAAATAAAAAGGTTTATTGTTAGCTAGTTCAGCTAATGAAACTCCTCCCACTTCTCCTTAATCACCTTAATGAGCGCTGCCTCTCAAACAATCTCCATCCACCAATCACGTTGCTGCTTCACTGCTTTTGAGATTAATAATGAAGGTTCATCTTCTGTGAATCCTCTCAGCTAAAATAAAGTTGAAGTAAACAGAACTTGACTGACTGGAGCAACTTGGTAGGAGGTTGCTAGGTAACACAGTATAAATACACCCTGTGGTACTTGTACTGCTGCTCTGGGGGATTTTCCCTGAAGTTTTACATTGAAATAAACAATCGTCTTGTTTGTTTCTTTCAGGGATCTGAGCTGGTTCACCTGCCGGGGAGGTGCTGCCCGCAGTGTTCCTCCCAGAAGCCTTCCTGTTTGCACGAGGGGGAATCCTACGAGGTACTTTGCCGTTTGTTTGCACTAAATGATATAAATAAACGTCTGTGAGGCGACGAATCCAAACCGCGTGGGTGAGACTCTCAGAAGTGAAATAAAGAAAGCAGAGGGGCACAAAGTGCATCTGCAGAGGAGGCTGCTGCACAAGCGAATGCGTCAGTATTAAGCTGCTTATGGATGCATAAACACCGAGGGGGGGGGCGGGGGGGGTAATGGCTCTATCAGGAGCTGTCAGGTCACTTTGCTACAAGAAGCTGTGATTATTCTGCTTGTCAACTTCATTATTCATAGGAAGGTCCTGGATACCCAGAATGCAACAGGCTTCCGTTTCTGACATTCTGCTCATTAAATGAAATGCTCCCTGGGGAGTTCATCCACCAGTAGTAAACAACGATGTGTGGAGTGCTGGTGGTGCCCTCCGCTGTGTCTGACAGGCGGGGGTGGGGGGGGCAGATCTGTGACCTCCTGATGACCTGGCTGAGGGGACGAATACTGATCTTTATTCATCAATGCATTCATGACGTGTTTCACTCAGTTAAGGTGAGATTGGAGACTAAAGGCTCCTTTGATCCCACCAGGTCTGATTAACTGTTTTATCTCCCCACCCCCCGACCCCCCCCCTTCTCTCAGGACCTGGCCCGGTGGACGGACGGCGGATGCCGGGAGTGCGAATGCCGCGGCGCCCGGGTGACTTGCTACCTGCGCTCCTGCCCCACCTGCCCCCCCGGCACCCTGCAGGTCAGCCGGGCGGGCCGGTGCTGCCCCGAGTGCCACCCGGGTACGTCGCCCCCGCAAAGGATTCTGGGAGAACGCATTACCTAACTTAACACGACAGCCCAGTATACAGGCCTAGGAAGAAGGCGAGCGTCGTACTTTCTGTGTACTTTTCCTCCTCTGCTTTCACTTTTCACGGGTTGGTGTTAGCTCGCTAAGCTAGCCACCGTGTTCACAAGGTTATAAACCACCACAGACGAATAATCTCCGCTTTCACACCGCGGGGGATAATTAAAAGAGTTCCAGGCTTTATGTCATCAAACCTCAGCGTGAACATGGACCAGCTTCATTAAAAAGCCAGCAGGGTTTATACGACTACAGTCCTGCGTGCTGGTGGTTTTTTTCCAAACACAAAAGCCATCATTTGAAGCCGTGTGCGTTTTTTGGAGGAGCAGAATGGTTTTAAAACTCTCCCTTTCCTCGCTGGGGGGGCCCCCCTCCTCGCTATAACGTGTTTTATTTTAAATCTGTAAAATAAAACACGTATACTCTGGAAAATACAGTCCAATTAGTCCGAGGACCTGACAGGGAGAAGGTGTTAAACGTAGCCGAGACCCAGAGACTTCCCTTAGATGTAAATGAAAGAATATGATGCTAAAGGAAGTGGAGGAAAGCTACTAAGTTGCTTTACTGAAGTAAAAGTACTCCCTTTAAGTACAGTTTGACGTATTGTACTACATTAGTTTTATTTGTGCTAGTAGTCTTTCTTGTTTGATAGTTATGTTTTGTAGTCAAGACTTAACATAAAATTTGTGTTAATCCCAATAAACTTTGAACCAATATTAACAAATATTTACCACAATAAACGCATCTGGTCACGTTTCAGATGTCTGAGTTGTTATCGGCTCCGTCAAAGAAACGTTTCCCCTTTTTATTTTAAATAACTATCCCATGTTCAAAGATGAAAAATCATTGGACGTCAAAGCCTTTGAAATATTCTCCTCTCCCTGCTTGTTCATCATCTTTTAGATAAAATGGAGCCCAAAAGCCGGCTGAACTAAACTGCCTCCTTCCGCATCTTCAATTGGACTTTTCCCCGAGGTGGAAGAAACCTGGATGCTTTAATCTTTCTATTTTCCATCCTCACATTTAAAAAACCTTCTGCATTCGGGTTCATCTTATATGATTCTTTATCTTCGTCACGCCCTCTCCTCTCGGTTTCTGATCTAAGTACAACACGCTATATACAGTATTTATACACAGATACATATGTGTGTATAAGTGTGCAGGTGTGTATATACAGATGTAGGTACAGCTGGAGATGCACATATTGTACGTTGTGTTGGATGTAGTCAGTGTGGTCATAGAGCAGTTGAATGTTTAATTGGTAGCGTGTTGAAAGATGCGCATTCCTTAACAAAGTGACTTAGAAATGATTCACACTTTACAATTATTTAGCAACGAGGCAGATGTTCGTTGACTCGTTTTACAACTGGGTCCTCAGTCTGAAAATGGGAAGAAAGAAACATATTCTGTCTTCTTCTTCTATTGGCTCAGAGGTCAGCAGCCTCTCCTCTCATTGGACGGTCCACGCACACATGGTTCATTTGATGGGCAGCTATCGCTGTTCAATGTTAACATATGAAGCAGTAGTAGGAGGCTTGTGTTACTAGTTAACGTATTCTTAGATTGATGCATATTTCGGGCCTTCTCCAAGGATGAGGATTAAGCATCCACTTCCGTAACCTTGGAAACGACTGCAGAGACGTCCCGATCCGTCACGGTGTCGAAGAAGGAATGTTCAGGGAACTCCTTGACAGAAGTGAAGTATTTCCTTCCACCTCCCCAAACACTCACACCGAGTGTCGTCCGCCAACGGGGGAATGACACCGATTACTTCTGCTCTGGCAGCAATGCATCAAATTTGACTCTTCAGCGCCTCGGATGATGCGCAGAAGTGTGCTTTTCCCCTAGACTAGGAATGAAACCATGACCAGTGAGCTCTATTGTTATTTTTATGTTACATAATGTGACTCAAACAGCTGATGAGATCTTGTAATTCGTGGACACAAACAGCACATGTTTGGCATCATGTTAATTACATATAAAATGTTCCGTGAGAGACTTTCTACTGAGAGGTCTGGGAAATCACAGCGAAGGTGTCTCTGGTAGGGGGTAGTGGTCTCTGGGTAGTGGTCTGTGGTTGGGGGGTAGTGGGTCTCTGGTAGGGGGTAGTTGTATCTGGTCTGGGAGTACTGGTCTCTGGTAGGGGGTAGTTGTATCTGGTAGGGGAGCAGTTGTCTGTCGTTGGGGGGTTGTGGTCTCCTAGTAGGGGGTAGAGGATCTTCTGGTTGGGGAGTAGTGGTCTGTGGTAGGGGGGGTAGTGGTCCTCGGGTTCTGGGGAGTAGTGGTCCTCTGGTAGAAGGAGTAGTGGTCTCTGGTTGGGGGG